TATAGTGAGATTTGATGTTACATTCACATTTGAGAAACCAACTAGGTTGTTACTGCAGATGTTTGGGGTTAAGCAATGTGTATAAGGAAGATTTTAGTGGTGGATCGTTGATACAGTATTAATGTGTTAAGTTGGTAAGTGTATTCCGAGGGTTCAAAATAAGGACCGGTGATTTCATCTTAAGGTCCAAGGGAATGGATAGATACTAGAATGACAAGCTTATAGGTAAAGAAAGTCACAAAGAGTATACTTGTATGAAGGTAATTGAAGATTTTAGTAAAAAAGTGCATATAAGATTGGGTTAGTCCTTTGATTTTAGTTGGTACAACTAGATTTAAGGTGCCATATTGATGAAAAGGTTGACTTCGTGGTGATGACAAGAGACAACCGAACATGATGGTAAAGAGAGTTCGTGATGGATTGTGATTGAGATGCAACTATATAATAAGGATTGTTGGTTAAACGAATTTGTATTGTAATGACGACTTACGAGTATTTCAGGTTGTGGTTGGATACTATTGGTAAGTGGCTTGATTGAATGGAAAGTTATAGGAGGTGCTGAGACACCGCTTGAATAAAATTGAAAAGAGCTAGAGTCATAAATAGAAAGAATTAGTGTAATGTAGTTTAGTCTTTGGAAAGAGGAGATCGAGAACAAAGATATTTACACTTTGAGTGCAAGGAAAAAAGATGTAACTTCAGATTGTAGAAAATTGAGTTTAAAGACACAACTTTTTTTCTTGTGGTTTTGAGTTTGATAATGAGTATGGTTGAATTTTTAGCGAAAGATATGATAAGGTCGATGGAGAGGCGATCAATGATAAGCTAAGATACGTGAACTCATAAAAATCTTTAAAGTATGAGCTAATGTTGATAGATAAAGGAATTGGGTTACACAGTTGGATACAAAATTCAAGTTTTTCACTGTGAGTTTAGATTTGTGGTAGTGTGTTTTGTCAAGGTATGGATTGGCAAGGTAAGAAATGATCAATCACATTGAGTATGAAGCATTTGGAAGGACTTAAAAATAATTTGAGTAGTAAATTTGGTTACTTTTGATTGTTATACCATAGGGGGGTTTCACGTAATGTTTTGGTTTAGAGGATAAGGTAGAAATATCATGGGTTATTGGTCAAAAGATTAGATTGATAAGCAAGTCAGCAAAGGAGAAAGAGTCTGGTGTATTGAAGAGTTCAAGATATTTAGAATTTTGCACCATGGGAAGAATTTTAAAAAAAAAAGTGAAGAAATAAGACCTCTCATATAGACCCTGGTTCGAAATTGAAGGTTGTATGAATTTTTGCCTGTGTGTTCAGATATGACTATGAGATGTGAATTGATTCGACACAGACTTACTAGGGCTTATTAACGACTCTTATGAAGATTTAGTTTTGACTTGGGGGAAGAACAATGATGTGTGGAAGATTCTACAAAAAAAAAAAATTGGTTTGATTTGTTCGAATTATGGTAGATGACTTATGGGGACACTACGGTGTGGACCTACAGTTTTACATGATTAATGAGAATTTCGAGGGGGTTGGAACTACTTTGTCGTGGGATGATATAGATTGTTATAATGTGTTACATAGGTATTTGATGGTTAGTAAAGGTTATGAGCTTATAGTATACAAAATTATTGGAGTGATCAAGGGTGTCTTTGAGTTTTGGCATGAGGTACACGATGGTGTGAGTGGTAGTTGAAAAAATGGTATGTGAAAGTTCGCGTGAAGTTGACATTGGGTGTGATACAATTATTTTACCTCGATGGGAAAATATTTTTTTTTGATTTGAAATTAGTGCTATCAGTCTTGGGTGTAATTCATATATGTCATGTTATGCTTAAATGGAAAGAGAGGGAGCCATAGTTTGAAAATTTTGGAGGCGATAATATGTTTGCTAAGAAGACATTAATACTGGTGACGGTTTGAGAGTAAGGTAAATGGCCGGTGTGGCTATGATGTTCTGTTCGTATTAAGAGTGTTGACCCTAGTAAAGTACTGTGAAGAGCATATGTGGTTCGATAAAACAAGTAGGTGAGCAATTATAATCGAGGCTAGACTGGTGATTGTGGATAGCTAGAAAATTAAAGAGATAGAGTCATATGAATGAAAATGTTTGATATGGGCACTATAGAAGAAGTATCTAGTGTTATTCAACTTTGATTCTGTATATTCTTATGTGACCACCTTCTTCGTATTGGACATTATGATTCACTGTTTATGCTACTCGTGTTTCCACATTTATGGGTGAATTCCTAGTGGTGGATCGGGTGTACCGATGCTGCGATGTCCTTTGGGTAGGATAAGATGCTTGGAAAGACTTGATCGTTTTAGATATGACATATTTGATGTTGTCTTGGGCAATTAAAGTATACCAGTAGTTTTACATGCACAACCTTGCTTATGAGAACTTATATAAGAGCTACTATGAAGAGTTACAATTGTCTAGGAGTGTTGTTAGAGGTTATATATTTTGAAGTATATCGCTTGTTGGGTGTTTACTTGATCTTATTCTTTTTGGGTTAAATAAGTTTGATTCTCCCTTGATGAGTACCCGGTGTCTAAAGATTTGATTTTTTATAACTTAAGCTCGTGAAAAGATTGTGTTGTGAAAAGGAAATCTTGATAAGATATGTGATGGGTTGTGCATTATGAGGGGATGGTGGTTGGTTAAGGTTCACTTCTAGTTGTAGCCGGTATCGATTCTGCATATTATCCTGGTTATGTGTGAAAAGATTTGTTATGATGATTGTGTTTCAATTTAGATTGAGTTCATGGGTTAGTCTGTGGCTTGATAATCACTCCTGATTTGTAGATATTTCAAAGTTTGATTTGAAAGTTCAGTTCTTAGTAGTTAATGGTCTTAAGGATGAGCTCACTTGGAGAGATAAACATTGACGCTGAAAATTATACATCAAGCTTCTGTTAATGTCGGTTTCCTTCTTTCTTCTTTATGTTCGGGGACGAACATGGTTTTTAGTGGTGGATAATGTAATGACCCGGAAGGTCATTTTTGAGA